CATCATACCCGCGGCCGCCAACACGGTCATTGTGGCCACCATCGCCGTGACCACCAACATGGCCAGGCCACCGCCACAACCACCGTGATCATCACCATGGCCACCACCATGGCCACTGCCTGGCCACTAGTACCACCACGGCCACCCCCATGGCCACCAACACCACCACAGCCACCATGATCACCAGTACGGCCACCAACACAGCCACCAAGATCACTGTCAAAGCCACCACCACTACTCAGACCATCATCATCACTGCCACTGTCACCACCACAGGCACCACCACCACGACAGACACCATGATCACCACCATTGTCACCACCATGGCCACCACTACCACCATGGCTACCACCACCACCAAGGCCACCACAATCATCACCACCATCACTCAGGCCATCAGGATTTCCACTACGGCCACCACCTCCACCACGATCACCACCATGGCCACCCCCACGTCCTGGCAACCCAGGCGCCGCCATCACCTTGATGAGGTCAAGGAGGAGGGAGGACTTGAACATCCAGTCGAGCTTCATGTCCTCGTTGCGGAGCAGGTCCTCGAGGCTGCCCCGGGAGCAGTGCTCCGAGACGATGGCGAAGATGCCACAGTCGTGGAAAAAGCCCAGGAAGAGGTTGACGTTCTCATGGCGCAAGTCCCGCAGCTGCCCCAGCGAGAAGGCGCGTGGGCTAGGGCTGACCCAGGGTTCGGCCTTGTCCCCCAGGGCCTGGCCTCCACCCCTCCAGGCCTGGCATTGCCACCGTGGCCAGGTGTTGTCCCCACTGTGGCCTGGCATTGCCACCATGGACATGTGACCTGGTGTTGGCCCCCCCACGGTCTGTCATTGCCCATTGCCACCATGGCCACCATGGCCTCATGTTGTCCCCCATGGCCTGGGATTGTCCCCCATGGCCTGGAATTGCCACCATGGCCACGTGGCCTGGTGTTGTCCCCCACGGCCCACCACTGTCCCCCTGCCACAGCCCACCCTTGCTCCCCGTGGCCCGCCCTTGCCAATCATTGCCATCATGGCCACCGTACCTTGCAGAAGGCCAACTTGGTGGCCGGCTTCACCTCGCTGTGCTGGTCTCCAGGGAACTTCTTCAGCCAGACCCAGTCGCCCTGTGGGGGATGGACGGGGACAGGCTGAGCCAGGGCCTGAGGGTACCCCAGAGTGGGGACGCGGCGGGCTTGGGAGGGACACGGGCTCATCCACAGCACCACAAAGGGCCCGAGGGTGCCAAAAGGGGTGGGGACATGGGGGTGGGGTGGAGGAGGGATGGGGGAGGGGGACACGGGGCAGATGCCGCTCCCCGCGCGCAACCCTCCTAC